AGTAAATTTTCCATGTTTCGTTTTGGACTTAAACATTGTTCTTTTTATATTCGTCCCGGCCATGCAGTTGTAAGATAGTCCTGACATGGAGATTACGTAACAGCGAGATGTTTTTACAAATATTTACTCGTTTTCCGTAGCCGGCTTGCTTTTTAAACCGCTCTCTTGCACTTATAACCGAGTCCTGAGTTTTTTCGACAAGAATGCTTCAGCCAGAACACTTTATTCTCGACAGTTCAGCCTTAGCTTTGATCCTATCATCAGGTGTTAAAAAATAGACATTTTTTTTAGTTTGCCGACAGACTCCCGCCTGCGACCTATTTCGGTCTACGAATGTCCCCTAAAGTAACTCGATAAACATGATTTTAATTTAATATATCGTATAGTGTTCAAATCCTTCCTTCCCTTCTCGAGGTGAAAATAACGTCTTTTCTAAATCTGGGCGTAAACTGATACGTGCTAAAACACAAGTTTGTCGCTTTCATTCGCAGCAAGTAGAAATCATTTTGCGAAACTTACATTCCTTTTTTTAATCGAAGTTCGTGCAAACACTTACTCTCACTTACAAAAGGCTTTTACTTCCAAACAAACCAATAACAAAAATTTCTGCGATGATAGGTTATATCAATTTCACTGTCTACAAGTACGTGAGTGACATATTTTTAAGTTTTGTGGAATCAGGTCACAGTTATCAAACTATGTAAATGTTCAGTTTAATATCCTTGGTAAACAATGACAATTTCAATCTGCTTTTTGTCGCTTCATTTTTAACTTCAACCAATACGTATTTTTCAAAACTTGACCTGGGCTAACGTATAAATCTGATTAAACGCCAGTTGGTCCACTTTCGGAGAACAAACCCTTGGCCCTGTTCAACATACGATTAAGCTGATCCAGTATTAACGTAAATTTTAATTTCAGTTTGGTAGCTTTTCAGTGAAAATTTCTGTTGTTATTTTCTTGACTTCCTTGCAGTTTTGGCGTTAGCCTCTTCCAGGCCGCTATTTTGGCGTTGACCAATGTCGACTCCACAAGAAGTTGGCAGTGGAAAACACTTTTATTCAAAAGAAATTAAGACCTCTGTTGACTTAAATCCTCGATTAGCGCTAACCGGCTTTCGAACAACCCGGCCCTGAGGTTTAGAGCAACCTCGATCGCAGGCTCTATCACCTTTGCCTCCCTTGTCCCTTTCCACAACAACAAGGGAGGCAAAGGAGAGAGAGCCTGGGTTCTAGGTTGGGTTAAGAGTTCGACTGTTGATGACGTAGTATGCACGTCACGGT